CACGAACCCGTGTCCCCTGCATCGGCAGGCGGACTCTCAACCACCGCGCCACCAGGGAAGCCCTGTCTGGGGGTTTTATGTTCGGCTTTCACCCTCATAAAAGATGGCTCTTTTTAATTTTTTTTTTTTACTCTCATGCTCTTTTTTATTGTTACATTCCTGGTTTTCTTCCTACTTCAAGGTTTCTTCTGGGCACTTCACTGGGTCTTCTTTTGTTTGTCCCTTACTTGTGGGGATTTTTTAAAGGATGGTTCTTGGTCCTCTTCATTCTCCCGCAGGTGACCCCATCCATCCCCGTAAGGTCAGCTCTCATCAGTAAGAGGGAGAGTCTGAAATCCAGTCTCCAGCCCTAAGTGTGATGCTGCACGTCCTCCAAGCCCCTCCAACTTGTCTTAACTCTGTGTCTTTTCCTATGAACCTGCTCTACCACCTGTTCTTTAATGCGTCAGTGTCCACCCATCACCCACAAAGTTGCCTCTCTCCTTGATGTGGGCTGTGCCTCTCTGTCTGTACCTTTGCAGACTGCCACTGCCCTTGCTTGGAATACAGACCGTTTCCTCCTCAGGTCCTACTCAGGTCATCTCCCACACTCCTCACCAGTCTGTCCACACTGTTACCAGAGTAACTGATCAAAATGCAAGACAGATCATCCTCGGCTTCTTAAAAACCTCACACACACTCCCTTTCCTGCCTTATTGGGTTGTCTGCACGACCCTTCCAGGCTCCTGAGATTGCAGGGCCCAGACTGTCTTTCCTGCCTGTCTCCCAACTCTGTCCCTAGGCCTCCTCCTCCCTTGCCTCAGTGATCTCACCCTTCCCTGCACACCGAGTCTTCTCACAGCTCTGTGCCCTTGTTCATGCCCTTCCCTATGCCAGGGATGCCGTTCCCTTTGCTACATTCCTCATCCTCCAGGACTCAGCTCACATGCATCGCCCCCTGTCACCCCCCCATTCCAACCCCTGTGCTCTTGTGCTGTCATCGGTGCGTTACTACCTCTCAATCCCGCTGGCTTGGGTTGCATTTGATCCATTTGCGGGTCTGTCTCTCCCAGGCTTGGCCTGACGGGGCTCAAGGTCAGAGACCTATCGTCTGACTTTGTGGCTTAGGGTCTGGGCTGTGGTGTGTGCCCAGCAAATGCTGGATGATTGGTGGCTTCAGGCCTGTCAGCCCAGCCATGCCTGCCTACCCCCTGCACACGAGTCCCCAGGGTAAAGTCATGGAAGCCGTTTTTTCACCCCTCAAGGGGACAGCGGGTCACATTAGGAAGGGGAGAGAGGTGCTGCCCAACATGTTCACCGAATAGTACAGCCCGTCCCAGGGACCAAAATGCTATGTAGAAGCCAAATGCAGGAAATAGGGTCTCTGCTCAGCCTTGTACCACCTCCCACTCACCTTGTACCCCCACAGCCAGTACCCTCCCACCAGTAGAAAATGCTGCACTTCAGCACAGTTTGCCCTCTCCCCTCCCCTCCCCCATCCTCTCTCACCCCTTGTCCCCTCCCCCCTCCCCATAATAACTACCTTCCTCACTCAGTGCTCTGGCATATCAGTTACTTCCATCTCTAACGCCTGGAGCTGAGCAAGGGCCAGGGTTACTGTTGCCCTTTCACACATGGAGAACCAGTCCTGGGAGGGGCACAGTGGGTTGGGACCAAGGTTAGGACCAGGGGGTCCTTCCATGCAAGAGAGTGTGGAGGCAGCCTGAAGCCCTGCTTCTCTCCCATGAGGGGACACCCAGACCCCTTTTAGAGAGTGCCTTGTCAGTGGGGAGAGCTGAGGGGCAAGAAGGATCCCGGGGAAGGTTAGGAGTGTGGGCCCAAACCCTGTGACCAGCCTCTACCTGGGACTTCTTGAGGGGGAGAGACAGCAGTGCACATAGGCCACGGGGACCATCTGGTCATTTCCCTTATGTCAGGTCAGGAGAGTGAGCCCGGCTCCTGAGAGGGCGGGGGGTGGCGGTGTTGAGGGGAAGGGCCCAGGGAAGGGAGGACCAAGGAAATGGCACGTGGAGCCCCATTTGCCCCTAGAGCTGCTCTGAAGCCAGGCAGGTACAAACGTGGGGAGAGATGGTATCAGAGGGAAGGTGCCTGGTGTTCATTCAGCACACACGTTAGTGCCCCTTGGAGGGGGTGCTCCACGAGAAAGGGCTCAACGCCCTGCCTCCAGGAGCACTTGGACCTCTCATAAGAATGTCTGACTTAGAAATGACAAATCTCAGGTCGGGCTGGCGTAGGCTTGGCCCGCTCCCCTCTGTGGCAGCAGGGGGTGGCGAGGCGGGGAGTTCCTAGGAGTGGCTCTACCAGCAAGAAAAAGGCGGCAGCAGAGTGGAGGGCTGGAGCAGGGGACCATGTGGGGGCAGAGACACCCGGGGAGCCCCCTTGGAGGGGCCTGGGCGGCACACCCATTTCCATCACTTGGTTTGGGTTCTCAGTATTTCTGTGGGTTTCTGACAGCGGCTGGTGAGTTTTCAGAAAAGGGAAGATGGCCAGAGACACACCAGGTTTTAATACCCATCCAACCTGTCCCCCAGGCCACCTCCCTCTGCCTGACACGTTCTGTCTCCCACCTCAGCATCCACACGGCATCCAGCTGCCTCCCTCCTGGGATGTGGTTGACCCTCCTGGGCCTTGGCCACCACTCCTGAGGACTTTTAACAGAGGGAGGGCACCCCTGTCCACAATATCAGAGGGTTGGACTAAGAGGATTAAAACAGTTGAGGGGAGGGGCTTTGGCCCCCATCGTCAGACCCTGTATCTGAGGCCTAGAGGCCTGTGGCTGGGGTGGTGAGTAGGGAACCAGTCCCAGGCCCTTCTGTCCCCCGCAGCAGGGAGGACGTATGTCTACTGGGGGCAGATGTTCATTCTCCTGAGGTGGCTAGGGCTGGGGACACATGGCGTTCAGGAGGTGCATATTTGGGACTTTAGTGGCTTCTGTGTAGCCCTTCGGAAGCCTTGAAGGCCACGCACCCCCAATGACTCCGGCTGTGGACAACAGGGCCAACCACTCTCCCCGCCAAAGAAACCCCTGATTCATGCCCAGTGCACACCTTGTGCTTGGGGGCCCCAGGTCAACAGATGTATTAGCCCAGGTGGTCTCAGACACTGACACAGGCGTATTGAACAGAACAGAAGGGGGAGAGATGGGCAAGATGGCTTTGGGCCTGGGGGAGGGCGGTGAGCTTGCTCTGGTGACCTGGAGACCCCTGCCCCCATCCAGCATCCTGTCCTGGTGGGGTAGCAGCCACCACGGGTTCCAGGGCCAGAGAAGGGTACTTGGGGTTGAGGAAAGGCAGGGGAGGGGGTCCAAGCCGAGCCAGGAGCCTGAACTGGATGGAGGTGGTAACTTCCCAGGCTGAAGATCCTCACGTGGTCCCGCAGGAGAGTAAGTCAGGGGCCTCCCAGGGATTCAGGTGGGCAGCCCATCCCGTGAGCCTGAGGACCTCTCCCAGGGAAGCGTTCTGACTTTAAGGGCACACCAGGGCTCCAGGATCAATGTGGAAGCTTCTGTTCTTGCTTCTGTCCCCAGAGTGTCCCTTCATCTTGGGGAACTCACTTTGAACCCTCCTGATGCCAGAGCCAGATGCACCCAAAGGTAACTTATTGGTTTTCCTTAGAACAGCTGAGGCAGCCTTGCATTTTCAAAAGGAAGTTTATTAGTATTGAAAAAGACAAACTGGAGATCACAGAAAATGCAGCTGTCTAATTTCTAAAGCAAGACTTCTGCTCTCACAGTCCTCCAGCTCTGGCCCGGGCCAGGGCAGCTGTGTGGCCCTCTGCCTGAGCTGGAGTCCCGGAGCCCCTGCCTGTCTCCACCTGCCATCATGCTCTGTGCTTTGGGGACATCATCTGGGACACACGACTCCAAGCCAAGACCCTTTTCTCTCCCTGCCACCCACCTGGCTCCTGCAGATGTCCCTTGTCCAGTTGGTTGAGGGACCCTGTGCTGGCAACAGTCCAGGGAGTGACCCTGTCCCTCCAGCCCAGAGCCTGGCAGTCCTCCCTCCTGTGGTACCGCAGCAGGGCCCCCGTCCTGGGAGGGCCTTCCTGGTCAGCCCTCCTCCGAGATCTCCTGCGACACCTCTGCCTACAGCCTCTCTGCGGCCACCACCTTCCCAGAGGGCGCCCGGCACCAGGCAGAGGGCTGGTAGGTGCTCTCGTCGCTGGCGGAGGCCTGCCAGCCCTGGGTGGGGCCCAGCAGGGCCCGGCCCTGGCAGAGGAAGTTGGGGTTGGAAAAGCAGTAGAGCATGGGGTCCAGGGCACTGTTGAGGTAGGTGAAGGCCAGGGAGCCATGGAAGAGCTGCGAGCAGATGTCCAGGGTGCAGCGGGCGTGCAGGTGGAAGGCCACGATGGAAGCTTTGCCGAAGATGATACTGCGCAAGAAGCAGGCCGCGTAGATGGCCACGGCCGCAGCCAGCATGCACACGGCCCTCCACGGGCCCGCCTGCACGTCCGGGCCGCGGCACCGGATGGTGAGCATGGTGTTCATTATGGCAAAGAGGATGAGCGCCAGCGGCAGGAAGAATTCCAGCACGGACAGGGCCTGGTGCCAGTGGAGTGAGGCCGAGGGGCTCGTGCCCAGCTGGTAACTGAGGCAGGAGTGGCTGGAATCGGTGGTCGGGAACAGTGCCCGCTGAGGAGCAGGATGCCCCCCCAGAGTCCCCCGGCCCCCCGGGCGGCTGCCCACACGGCGGCCCTGCTCAGCACGTGCTGAGGCCGCACCACCTTCAGGCAGCGGTCGAGTGAGACGGCCACGAGGGAGACCGTGCTCGCTGAGCGGTTGGCGGCGATCACGAAGAGGGTAACTGCAGGCAGTGGCCCCGAAGCGCCAGGTCTCGTGGAGGGAGTGGCAGTCCACGCGAAGAGGCCGGTTGGTGATCAGGAGGAAGTCGCCCACCACCAGGCTGACCAGGGGCACAGCGCTGGACGCCCAGGGCCGTGCGTGGAAGCAGCAGAGGAAAAAGGCCAGGCTGTCCCCACCAGGCCTGGGACAAATTCCACGCTCAGGACTGGCGCCGGGAGGGCAGACACCATCGGGGAGGCGGCCAGGTGGCCGGGAGCCAGGGCCTCTCCAGGTGACCCCAAAGCAGTGGTGAAGGCAGAGGGCGAGGAGGCGGGAGGGAGTGAGGAGGGAGAGAGGGAAGGAAGGGGAGAGGGCGAGCTCAGGTTATGAAGTTCCGTGGGCTGCTTGCGCCTTGCGGTCATCCTACCCCCCCCACGAGAGTGTTCAAGGATTAGTGCTTGCTATCAGCCGGCCACCGCGATGACTCAGTACCCTGAGGTTTTCATCAGCATCCTCGCAGCCACTGAGAAACCCTGTGTTCCTATTTGCAGGCAAAGGGGAGCCCTGCAGCCTGCCCTCCCTCCCTCCCCGCCTCCCCTCCTACCGGGTGGCCTGCCTGTGAGGTCTCTAAGCTTGGCCTCGGTTGGAATCTGCCGTTGCCCCTGGCAGAGGAGGATGCAGGGCTCAACAGGGTGAGTGGAGGCCCAGAGAAACCCTGAAGTGGGAGGAAGGCCCAGCTGGGGTGAGGTTGGGGAGAGTGTTCACAGCCCTGAGTGGTCAGACATTGGCTTGCCTGAAGGCAGGATCTTGTCCTGGCAACTCAGAGCCTCCGGTTCATGCAGACCACCCTGGACCCCTCCCAGCCCATCATAGATGCAGACCGGGTGGCTGCCTCCCTGCCCCCACCAGCTCTGGCAGCAGGGACTGTGGAGCCAACAAGACATCGTCCTGGGAGAGGGAGCGGGAGTCCAGTCAACACCTTGACCGTCGTGCTCACAGCCTGGTGAGAACAGCCTGCTGTACGTCCGCCAGCCTGCTGTCGTTATTCCCAGATTCCTGATGCTTCCAAAGTCTGTGATGGTCCACATCCGTGATGCAGTACATCCCACAGGCAGAGGGCTCCCCTGCCAAGTTTCTACGGCCATGGCCTGGGGACATGGGGGCTTCTCCCACAAACAGAACAATCTTGAGAGTCCTCGAGTTTCCCTGCCACTGTCCACCCCACTTAGCCGGCCATCACCCAGTACTCCCTGCCGAGAGGGGAGTGGGAAGCTGTGGCTGGCTTCAGATAAGGTACGAGTCCTGCTCCCCTCTGCGTGGTATTCTCATGAGCCCATGGCGCCAGGCCTGCGGGCAGAGATGAGGGCCCGGGACTCCTGGTAACCTGGGACAGCACCAAGAGAGGCTGTGGTTCCAGGCCCCAGGATCTGACACGCCCCACCCGCTTGCCTCCATGCCAAATGGCTGTGGTCAGCAGGGCGCTGCGTGCTGCCAACTCTGAGTCTCTGGGTTTCAGACGCAGTGGCCGTTGGCCCCTCTCCCACAGATCCTCCAGGCCTTTCCGCTGCCCTGGGCTCCCACTGGCCAAGGCTGAGGGCAGATAGGCCGTAACCACGGGGTGCAGGGTGGCGGGAACACCAGACTGAGCTTTGAATACAGACAAGCCTGGGGTGGAAACAGGGCTGCCTGCTTTCCAAATCTCTCTGAGCCTCATCTGTAAAATGGGGGTGCTACCACCTTCTTGGAGAGTTGTAAGGATTAAATGAGGTCATGTATGTGAAAACGTCTAGCAAATTCCCTGGCACAGAGTCGGTGTTCAGAAAAACAGGAGATCTAATTTTCGTGATTTTCTGTCTTGGATTAGGCCCACCCTTGGCACTAGGGGGCCCTTCTCGTGGCCACGTGCACCCTGCCCAGGGGGCCTCCCTGGGACATTCGTGTGTTCCGTCCTCAGCTCCTGTACAGAGAAACACATCACTGCAGCCCGAGCACACGGCCAGCCTCTGCCCTCACTGCCCTGAACTGGTGGAAGGATAGGGGGAGGCTGGTGGTGTTTCTTCATTGCTTGTAGGAGAGGAAATCCTCTAGAGCGGTAGGTGGGTGAAGGTCCCGACATCCCTCAGGGCCGGAAGTCCTTTCAGCAAAGTCAGGGTCTCCTTTGCCGATGTCAGTGGAGGGGATCGAAGCAATGAGCCGGGAGGCTGGGGCGGGGGAGGCAGGGTTCAGACCCAGGTTTTCTGGAGGAAGCGCTGCCTCTACCCAGGGACCTGTTTCATCCAGATCCAGCTTCAGTTCCCCCCACGTGCGACCCCTCACCAACTTCTCAGTGAAGCCCCATGAAACCGAGCCCACATCTCCCTCTGCAGGTTGCATGATTCGTCTCTACCCACTGCTGCGTCTGGGGCCCGCAGCACTCCTGGACCCCACGGGGGGGCCTGTACATAGCAGGGGGAGAAGGGGGAGGAGGCCAGACAGCCCTCCCCGCTGCTGCCAAGCTCCTGAACAGCTTTACGCCCCTCTGAAGGCTCATCGCAGTCTTTGTGTATTAACTGTGCTTCACTCCAGCTGGGGGGATTTTGTGTTTTTAGTATTTCTACGTTTTCTACAATGAGCACAAGTCACTTCAGTTACCGGGGAGAGATGCTATATTTTAAAGTTATGTAAAAAGAGTAAGAAAGAGAAAGAGGCAGAGGGACATCAGCTGTGCCGCAGGACAGGCATAGGAGCTTGCATGGAGGGGCCACACACACAGCATGAGGGCTTCTCTACAAGCAGGGGGACCTGGCCACAGACCCTCCACAAGGTCCACAGTCACCCAGCGCTCCAGATCTCCCTCCCCCCTGCACACACACACAGTCATGGGAGCACCAGGTGTCTGCCAAAGATCACAGGCTCTGTGTGTGCAGACCCGTAGGTGCCCGTCTGTCAGGAAGCCTTTACTGAGGACCACCTTGGCAGCAGGCAAGTGCTGCGCTGAGCCTGTGGACGGAGGGATGGAGAGGACCCTGGCCTCAGGGAGCAGTCCGCCCGGCAGAACCCTGCAGGGCAGTGGGCTGAAGCTGTTAGGGGTGAAGGGGAGCTACGGCCCCCGGGAACCTGGCATCCTGGAGAGGACAGGAGGAGGATGGATGACAGTGATGTCCAGGACCCAGCCCGGGAGACGCTGAGTCACTCGGCAGCAGTGCACATAGAAGCGGTGGGGCTGGGAGAGTTACTCGGCAGGGGTGGCGCTCGGGGGCACCCTGTGGCGGCTCTGGGCCCGCAGCATGAGGATCAGTCACCCCAGGGGCTTCTTGCGGGCAGGGTCCTGAGTCACAGACAGGGCCGTGGAGCCTTGCCCTCGTTCCCAGCTATACCTGTGGCGAGGCAGGTGGGCGGGGCTCAGACAAGGCTGGGATCCCAGGGAAAGGTGGGCAGTCCCACAGTTGGGGGTAAATCCTCCCCGGGTACTCACGCGGTCCCAGCTGGCACCAGGAGGCTGTCATCGGGGGTCAGGCTCAGGCGCTGTCCTTCCATCGTCACCACCGAGGAGCCCTCCTAGGAAAGAGGAGTGGGAGAAGCAGATGGAGGCTGTCAGGCCGCGGCACCTGTCTGAGCATCCCTGAGTCAGCCTTGGCAAGGAGGCCTGGGAGCCGGTCCAGGCTGTGGGCACCCCAGGAGCAGCCTGGTCCTCACGGGCAGGCAGGAGGCTGTGTCCCCCCCCGCCCTGCCCCCGGGCCCACTTGCCAACTGCCACAGCCACACGTCCACGTCCTGTCTTGGGCCTTCGCTGCTGCCTTGTCCACAGACCATCACCTGGGGGGAAGTGACACAGAGCTTTCCGGCGCATCCTGCCCCACGTGGGAGATGGCCTTGAACCTGGCCCCGAGACACCAGGCCTGCGTGGCGCAGGGACGGGGCCCGCAACACAGCCTCATTTCCAGGTGCGGAGCAGAGAGCTGGCCTTGGAGAGGAAGGCTGCCCAGGCCACAGGGCGCCCTGGCCACCTGCTGTTAGGGATCACACGTGCCTGCCCTCCACACCCACCTCCACGTGCTGACCCATGTGGAGGCACGCCTACCAGGGGCACACGAGGCATGTGTGTGTACATGGCACAGTGCAGACGCACGTAGGACACACACATGAACTCCCCAGAGGATGCCCACCTCCCTTCCTCGTGAGAGGTTAGGAGTCTGGCCTAAGGAGGAGGAGGGAGGTGGGAGGGGATGAATGAGAGGGAGAGGGAGGCCGAGCAGCTCTGACCTGCATCAGCCGGAAGCCCACAGCTGCTGTGCAGGGCACGCTCCCAGCGGCCCAGAGTGGGACTCAGTAGATGGTGGCTGGAGGGAACTGAAGCAGGGAGAAGGAGGGGTGTGAAAGAATGGGGTGGCAGGGGCGTGGTGGGGCGTGCCGGCTCTCAAAGCCCTGTGTAAGCTCAGGGCTCGGCTGGCTGGGCCTTTTAGGGCAGGTCTGCATCCAGTGATCATCCCTCCACGGGGGTATCTAATGCAAACTCCAAGGGATGTACCAGTGGCAAACGGTAAAGCGTAAGTGAACGTGAGCCTCCGGGCAGCTCTCCTCGTCACCACCCTTGCCCTGCTGATCCAGTCCTCACTCAGGCTACAGTGATCTTTCTGAAACACCACTGTAGCCTGGTCAGCCCCCTGCTCCCCGCTTCAGCACCTGGGTGAAGCTCTCTTGTTTCCAGGATTCGTCCTTGCACCTTGCCCAGCCCAGGAGAGCCGCTAGCACGTGGGCACTGCCTGCTACTTTGGCCATCTACCAATTGTATCTGCTGCCCCCACTCCTCTGTCCTGGTTCCCCAACCTCAGCTATTTGCAGTGTCAGCCTGTTTCAAGCCTCCATGCCTTTGCTCAGGCTTCTCCTTCACCTGGAATGGGCTCTCCATCTCCCTTTCTTTCTTTTGCAAACTCCTACAATAGCTTTAAAACTCAGCCTATATATCACCTCCTCCAGGAAGTCATCCCTGACTTCCCTCACAGCCTGGTTCTTCCTTTATCCTCCTATGGCTTCCTGTAGCTTCTCTACCAAAGAATGTATCACATGATCATGGCAACTGTTAACTTCTCCATTTACTCGACCATACACTCTCTGAGACAGTGACTCTATCTTATTTTCCTACTAAAGCCTGAAACATAATAGGCACTCAATAAATGTTGAATGGAAGGAGGCGAGCCTTGTTTGGGTCTCTCTCTGTGCAACTCTCCACCCAACCCTCACCCGCAAATATCTCTTTCCC